CTGTGCTATCTCCGCATGCTGCTCCTTCCCGAGCACTTTCTCGAGATGCATTTCTTTGTCTTCCCTAGTATCTCTACGACGGGATGGACATAAGCAACTTAGCCGTGGATTTTGCTGTGGTCTGGAATGGAAACTTCATCATCGACAACCCTGAGGATTTGAAAGGTAATGGTCATTCGGTTTCTTGCAGGGTTTCCTCTCCTTCAGTCGTGGAGGGGAGGGTTGTGATACAGGTCAGGGAGCAGACCGGCCTATAAAACTATGCTGGCAGCAGCCAGTATTTGGTTAGCCAACATCATTATGATACTCTGTGGTCTCTGCCTATATTTCTATAGTCACGTCAAGGACCCTCATCTTTAAGGGACTGGTCCTAAGCGAGGGCAGCCTTTGCACTGCAAGAACATTGTCTTCACTGAGAGCATTTCCCTAAAGCCAGCTCAGAGAGCATGCGTTATCCCCTGATGCCACGGGTCAGCACAGAGGAACCTGCCCTCCTTGCTGATACCACTTTGAGCCATCAGCCGGGCTATGTCCCAGCTCACCTGCGGGTACTCTTCCACATCCATCGCTGAAAGCTGGGACATCCAAAGGGCCAGGCTTGTACTGAACTGCTGCACAGCTCCACCAGGCAGGCTGGGCTTGTCGGGGGAGAGAAGACTGTACTGAGAGACAGTAACCAGAGAGACTAGTTGAACCCTAATCTGCAACAGCAAGAGCTTGCCACTTTCTTTTTAATAAAATATGTTCCAAGTGGGAAGATGCTAGACTGACAGGCCTGAAACCCCCTATCTATCCTCAGACTGCAGGCAGCAACAGGGCATGCTTCTGTTTATACGCTAACTCGCCAACGCATTTCAGCTGGGTGGCTTTGGGGGTATAAAGGTAGCTCACTTCTTATGGCCCCGTCTGGCCTAGCCTGATGAGAAACTCCATGGGTCTCTGTAATGATGGTGAGTCAGCAGTGCATTGGTTTTATGTCCCACTAAACAGACAACATTGTGTGACTCGCTGGCCAGGACTTTGGTGCATGCACTGTGTGCTCCTTTTACGAGACGCCCAGCAAGAGCAGCACACCGTATGGATGCCGTTACGTGGCCTTAGCTGCTGGAAGGCACAACCAAGTTCAAAAAGCATGCATTAAAATAAATGACTGCCAGAAAATGCATATGCTTTAAAGTGAGCCAAGTAGTGCTTATAATGGAAGCAAGTCTTAATCGGGAAAGAAACCTGTTACAGTTCCAGCTCCTCCTCCTATAGACGGACCTCCGTAGGAAAATATATCAGGTACCAGAATGAATCACTGCTGCCCTGCAAACACCAAAACAGACCTCCTAAAGCAGCAGGCTAGCCTCCTGAAAGGGGTGCCTTTAGGGAGCCCTATCTTACTGTCCCAGGGACCTCCTTTTAACACGTTCCCGCTGTCCACGCCTGAGCGGTGTTTTTGGCTTTCAAATGCTCTGAAGTTTTCTGTGGTACCTGATATATGAGAAAAGTGGCTGGAAACCCTGCCAGGATCCCTGGAAAAGGAGATGTTGTTTGAATGTGCTCTTTCTTGGTTTAGGTCAGTGGAGTAAACTAAACAAAGAGGTTTTCAAGACTGCCTTCCAAAGCAAGCATGGGAGCAATAATGGCTGCAAACATCTGGAAAGAGGTTGAGCAGGAATGAGAAGGCTTAAGTGCCCTGTTGCTAACAAAACTGCATGCACAGGAGGGATATTGGCTAGTGTGGGCTTTGCAAGCTGTGCCTTTCAATCTTGAATGACACTGCAAGGCTGCTGCCTACTTGCTGCTGGCTACACCTTAGGTGTTGCTGCTCCCTTGGGCATCCACCACCCCCAGTGCTTTGGACAGTCAGAGCCGTGGCGTTTGGATGAGGGCAGACAGAGGTAGCAACGGCATCGGTATCGAGTCATGCAGGCTGTGACACTAGCTGTTCACCCTGGTGCAGTATTAACCCTATTTCATTCTGGGCAAAAGTTGCAGAGATTTAGCTCCTCTGGACCGTGTTGTTCCTCTCTTCCCTGCAGTCCACCTGTACAAGTGCGCGGCCCAGCGGGAGAGCTGCGGCCTGTGCCTGAAAGCGGATCAGAAGTTCGAGTGCGGCTGGGGGGGGGGGGGGGGGGAGGGGGCCCTGCAGCTCTTCCCCCCACCAGCCCTGGCTGGACTGGTCCAGCAGGAACGTCAAGTGCTCCAACCCCCGCATCACCGAGGTAAGAGCACAGCCAAGGGGATCCTGGTCTGTCCCTCTGTCTGTCCATCGCCCTGACCTTGTTCTGTTCGGTTACATCAGTCTGGGAGGGCCAGGTTGCCTTGCATCGGCTCCTGGCTGCCTGCCGCCTCCTGGTCTGCACATAGGATGTCATCTGTCCTGAGCAAAACATCCCACTTCCTCCTGCGATGGCAATTGTGGGACCCCACTGCCCTGCTCCTTGGCTATCCACTGTGATATCGCACCATCGGTCCTGGGTGCCCGCTTGCACCCTGTTGTTTGGAAGCTAATTAAAACAGGGAAGTGATTTAATCTGTAATTAATTTCTATGGGTTACAAGATAGTCAGGGAAGCGAGGTCCCTAGACAAAGTGCCTCTGGGAGGCATTATGCACTGTGAAGCGGCTAGTGGTGGGAAGCTTGCACTAATACAGGGGCTTCTTGGATGGGATGTACATGAAGGGAGACTTTGAGCTGATTCCCAGTACAATCTCGAGGCCTCATGCTTCCTGCACTGCCATTTACCCCGTGCAAACTGTGCGCAGAGTGCCTGTACGACGCTGCTGCAGAATGGTGTAAAAGGCTGCCCCAAGGACCAGGCAGAGGACAATGAGGGCTGCGCCGGTTCAGTTAAGGCCTTTCACATGAGCTGCATCAGTTTAACTTTGATCAGTTGTTAAACCAGCATAGTGAAACCAGTGCCAACTCCTGTGGAGACGCTCTTGTTCAGGTTTCACTGGATTAATACAGGTTAGCATAAATCTGCTCCTAATCAATGTAAGCTAAGTGGAAATACTCCTGGCTTTCACCAAAATAGGTAAGTTCATACAGACTTTTGCATTACGGTACTGTAGGTGTATAGACCAGGCTACAGGTATAGCCTGCCACAGATGTCTGGAGGAGCACGGCCTGTATCCCGGTATTTTAGTGACTAGAATAAAACCGGATGGATAAACAGAGCTGGTGGTTCCTGTACAAAGCAGGATTTAACACTGCTGTTTTGTTTCTGAGTCCTACTGAGAAGTTAAGACGTGAATTCACTTTTCATGAGTTAAAATACAGGTTCGCCATCTTCCTCGCGCTCGGCGTTAGAAGACGAGCGTGCCTTGCAAGCAGCAGTGCAGCTCACGCCAGCTGGAAGTCGGGGTCAGCTGCCCTGGTGCAAGTAGCAGAGTTGCTTGTCACCACTAATCCTTTGCCCCGGGGCAGCAGTACATGTGGCTGGCCCAAATCGGAGTGGTCCCTTGTGTCCAGCTCCCTGTGGCCCGTTTGCCGAGCTCTCTCACCGGGGTGCTAGGTCTTCCAATGCAGCGCTTATAGTCCTGTCCTGTGGGGAGCCTGCTGTTGCCTGACCCTGGCAATCTCTTCCTCAGACTCGTTTTCTTCATCTCATTCCCTCCCCCTGAGATCATCCTTCTTGCCTCTGCTGCCGTAGCCCTTGTAGGTCCGGGGCTGGCGCATCTCTCCAGAGTATCAGAGCGACTCCCAGGCGCGCATCGAGCAACGTGACTATTTTGAGGTTTCTTTTTGTTGCTAATGCCTCCATTTGTTAGGTTTTGACAAGAAACAACACTTATTATTATAAGGTGTCAGGTTCTGATTAACTTCACTCCATCATCATCACATGGCAAGAAAGAGCCAGGATGAAGGGCTGGTCTCAAAACAGAGAGTACTCAGCATTTCCATGAGGCGTCTCATCTCCCGCGCTGTGGCAGAGATTGTAGCCCCCTCCGGACATGCTCCTGACCGTCCAATCCCACCTTTGAATGGCACGGTAGCTGCAGCCCCTTCTGCTGTGCATTTTCACCTCTGCTGGTTTTTAACAATTGAGATGCGGTTTTGGGCCGGCAGGGCCAAGGAAGGACAGCAACCCTTGTGGTACTGATTGCACAAAGACGTTGGGTGCAAAGCCAGGTGGCAGAGTTCATCACAACCTGCCTCTCCTCAATCCAGCTTCATCCTGGGTTTGTTTTACAGGCTGTGGCTTGGCTTTCACAGAAGGCTGTAGCATTTTTTCCCCCTTATAATCACTATAGTAACAAACTGGCCCTAGGAGAAGAGTATTCAAGGCCTCTTGGAAGAGGGAGCAGTTCAAGAATCTCTTGATTTGTGCAAACTTCAGGGGAGGAACTCTTCAGCTGCCCTTCTTCCCCACTAACCTTTCTCAGAGCTCACCTTTATGGTTATAAAATTCCCTATTCCCTGTCCCAACACCCACCATCCCACGATGTTAGGACTGAGCTGGTAGTTGGGTCAAGCTATAGAAAAGGAAACCCTCGGTGCTTGACACCTGAGAAGACCCCTGGCCCTTTGTGACTGCTTTCTCTGTTTCCCTTTTGGTGCTTTCTCCAGCCCCCGGCAGTCAAAGGTCATGAGAAATATGAACCTCAGCAGAAAAGGAGAAGGTTTGGGAAGCCTTGGATTTATTTTCCGCTCCTTGAGTGAAGCAGAATGAAACCTGCCCCAACCACAACAATGTGCATCCTCCGGGCAGGAGCCCCCGGTCCCACAGCATCCATGCTAGCTGCAGGCTGGGCACTGCCTTGGGATATTTTATCACCGTCCAACTTGAAAGCAATGTTGGTGCTGCCTAAACAAGAAAAAAGAGCATATCTTAGCTGCAACGTATTTCTTGTCTCCACGGCCAGGCCTATGACTCATCCTTTAAATCTGGAGGTGCAAGGAGCCTCTCCAGAGACCATGTGAGGCTAAGGGGATTGACCTTGGCAGACTCTGAGATGGAGCGGAAATAGAGTTGCTTTTGTTGGCAGATCGACATGTTCTGTGTCAGGGTCAGCAAGAGAAAACGGTCCGGTTCAGGGGAATTGCTCAGTTGAGTCTTCCAGTGTCGCCAGCTTGTGTTTTATCACAAGGCTCCTGATGCGTGGCATTTTTTCCTTAAAACCTCAGGTCCCCGAGTCTTGTTGTTTAGGAGACTCTAAGCTGTCACTTAAATACAGAACTAAGTTTCTATCCTGCACAACTGAGGAAGAAAAGCTTGAAGACATGACCTAAGTGGATCCTTCAGACTCAAAACCAGAGGCAAGTGATAAGATCCCAGCACTGGTTATAAGTCTCACGATTTTCATGATAATCTTGTGTTTTTCTGGAGTCTGGCACCTTGAATTTATACCTGGGGTTGGCAAGTCTAGGTTTCTTTTAAATAACAGAGATAGTGGGACTTCTGCCTATTTCCTTTGGAGGTTCTGCCATTATCCAAGGGACAACTTGGTTCAGAAACCTTTCCTGCTGCTACAATAATATCTTGTCCTCATCTAGTGGGGGACAGTTCACTCTACATCTTCCTCAGAAGGTCTTGCTCCTTTGTGATGTTGAAATGGGACTTCATGCCAAATGAGAACAAAACCTGAAGATGCCAACATTTTCTTCCCAGGAAAATCCCCAGGAACTGGACAAAGGGGCTCATTAAAGCATTGCTTAGCATCTCGGCTCCCGGACCCTTGCCCACATTGCCCAGCTACACCTTGGGTTGATGCAAGACACTCAGCATCCCATGAGGTCAGGGGGAATCCATTGGTTTTAGTGGAGCCGGATTAAATCTCAAACCAGGGAGCGCCGGTGATCCTCGCCCTCAGCCTCTTAGTCGAGCATTCGGTGCGGTTGCACTGGTGGAGTTTGGCCCCATGTATACGGCCGTGCTGCTACTGCCAGGGATGTCCACCCTCCAAGGATCCTGTCCATCTCTCCAGTGCGCAGCTCCCCTGTGCATTTTGGTCTCTTTTCTCAGACCCAGACCCAGAGCTCTTGTGTCTGGATTTCCAGCAAACAGCAGGAAAAGCTCATGTTATCACTGAAATAAAACAAACAGCTCAGTGGCATGCAGTCCTTCCACATATGAGATCTGAGTCCAGGGCCCAGCCTGTGCCAGTGATGCCCCTTTAGCAGCAGGAAACTTCCCCCCGGTCTGCAGTCTCCACGATAAATAAATAAAAAAACCCCGCTTTCTGGAGAACACGCAGCGCTCTGATCTCCTATTCATTTATTTGCAGGCCTCATTAATATAACATCACTGCAACAAACAGCTAGGGGGGGAGATGTCAGGCTGAATAATGGAGTCTCTCTGCTGAGATAACAATTAGGTGCTGAATGCGCTATCAGCAAAGGCAGAGACAAGGAGGGATCATGCTGGGATGAGGGGTTAGGTATGCTCATGTGCTGGGGCCCTGCTGGGCTCATCAGCTAGGATCCAGATAGCTGAGAATATAAGAAATGGGAAGAGGAGAAGATGGCTGGATTTCTTCCCCTCCGTCTCTGTGTGGCCAGGAATCTCCTTCGCATTGTCTGGGCATTCGGTGTGAGCTGAAATGAGATGTCTGCTGGGCTCTTTGGGCCCGTGGCTCTCCTGTGGCAGAAAAGCATCCCTGGTCTTGGCGTCTCTCATGCACACATCTACTTTGCTGTTGCTCAGCATTGTTGTGCATCAGAAATGGTGAGCCATGAAGCTGGGGGAGGCAAACCTAGGGTGCAAATGAAGTGGATACTGTGTCATAGGAGGGTGTATTATCTGATTAGACCAGCAAAGAGATGGGAACCGGGACTCTTGGGCTCCTTTCCCAGCTGCGGTAGTAGGATGTGGTTCTGTGGCTAGAGCAGGAGCAACTGCGAGTCACGACACCCAGACCCTACCCCTGGCTTCACCACGGGCTTGTCTCGTGACCCTGAGTACATCATTGCCATGCTCCGTGGCTGAGCTGGCACAAATAGCAGCCGCAACAGTTTGCACGAGGGCCGTAATGAGGGCATAGCTCCAGATCATACAAGGTCACGTCTCCTGCCACCTCGGTGGCACCTTTGTGCTAACGCTGCAATGCTTCACACTCCACTGCCTTGCCTGATAGCACCGAAATGCTTGGCAAAAGAAGGGGAGGCTCACGTTCCCATCCTGCTGATGGGGAAACTGAGGCAGAGGGGGGCATGATCACCCAGTGCTTTAATTGAAAACAGATGTTCTGGAGACATTTCTGATTGGACTTGCTAAGGGGAAACTAAAAGAGCAGGAGGATGAGCAGAGCATAAAAGCGTGAACAAATGGATAAGAAGATACAGGAGACAGCTGGGGATGGCAGGGTTGTTCGTGTTACTCAGAGTTTTTCCTCCCTACAAAAAACTCAATTATCCTTAAACCACCTTTACTTTCTCCAGTTCATGAAGCCTCCAAGGGTGACCAACCGTGGCAGGAGACGGGGGCAGTGGTGTCGGCAGCAGCCCTAGGTCAAAATTTCTGTCTAATTGGGTCGTGCACCCACGTAGGAGCAGAGTCTGAACGTGGTGTATGAAAGGAGCCCAAGGTCAAATGCCACAGCCATCTCAGCCTGGCAGCTGGGCCTCATCGTGCAGTGCCCAGGCCAGGTCCAGTGCTGCTTCGAGGGGTCACCCACGTATGATGTTGCGGGACCTTTAAGACGTCTCTCCTTTCTGTGATTTTGACTGAATCTCCCCAGCTGTAATTAATTGAATGCATCTGTTCTAACCCTGGGGCTCCTTTATGGCACAGTTACTTCAAAACTGTTCAATTAGCGGCCACTAAAATCTAGGTCGAATGGAACCACGTATTGGGTGTTTTCCAGGTCAGGACATTTTCAGTATAAAAAAAAACCCCCAGTGCTGTTGTGTTTGGCAATACACTCTGGTTTCACTGGTCACGCTTGGATCAGAAAATGGCAAGCCGTGACTTGTTTGGGGTGTGATAAGGCAGCGAGCGCAATCATGTAAATACTGCAACAAATAAGATGCAACATAATAGGCGGTTGTAAGGGAAATAAATTGTCAAAAACAGTTGAACCACTGTGTTCAAGCGATGTCTAACTAGCAGCGTGAACATCAACAACCCAGGCCTGCGATGCTCAATATAATACAATACAACTTTGTTTCGTATAGCGTCTTTTATAGGCGCACAATGCTTTCCGGAGCTAAGTGAACAAGACACGCTACATGGTATGAGTTACAAAAAAACAGCAACACAACAGACATTGTATGGTGATTAAATTAAAGCCTTCAGTCATAAGGCCAAGAGCTGAGGGAGATAGAAATTGAAGCAGAGGCATGGGAAAGAAGAGGTGTTTTAAAATACAATGCAGCCATATATGATATGCAAGCTGCACAACAAGCTGCATCCCAGAACATTTTGCCAAATTCAATGCATCCTCACATGTAAATAATAAATAGGAGCAGAGGTGAAGAGAGAGAAATTAAGCACCAGGGAGAAGAAATGGCTTCAGCTGAGATTTGAAAGACAGTGGAATAAATAAGGCAGAAAAAGAGGTTACTGTAGACAGCAGAAGACATGAAGCTCTCCTACTGATGTTGGTGGGAGTGGGAAAAGGCCCGAGTAGGGTGCGTGGAGGGAGTGGACAAGGGATTGTCCAGAGAGGACAGGACGGGTCACGTGCCAGTAAAAGCCATTGCTGCCACCTGGCCCACTCCATACAAAAGGACTAGCAAGGGCTGCTCTGATGGGGCACTAGCACAACTCGTCACCATGATAGATATTGTATACTTGGCTTGATAAGCATTTATCAATGTCCAGGGCTCTGCTTGTGTGCGCAAGGCAATCCAGATCTCATCTAGGGGGCTCCTCGGAGTTGATGCGAAGGTGAGAGAGAAAGTGAGCAGCTGGCCAGAAAAGCGAGGGAGGATGGAGGGGCTAGAAGTTGGAAACTGCAGACAAAAGCCCTAGCTTTATAGCAGGACAGGATAAGTCTTGCATTAATAATGACAACTACATAATAATAACTGCATTAATAATGATAACTACTGCTCTTAACGAGCAGTCTTGCCGTTCTCTGCAGGAGGAGCCTCAGTGCCCTTGCCATCTTGTACAGCCGGGGCACAAAGAAGGCCGGTGACATGCGTAGGTCCACAGTGGCTAAACCAGGACTCGGACTCTGGCAGCTGGGTCCAGATCCCAGGACCACACCTTATTCTAGCGCATGCCACCAGCTGGGTGGGTGGTTATGTTTAATGGGATGCCGGGGAGGAGGTAGTGGAAACGATTACGGCCGAGGCATGCCATAAACAGACAGCTCGCAGCTGACTCCTCGGCCTTTAACATTTCCGAGAGTTATTTGAGGTGCTCCTGTGTTGCCGGACTTGCTAATAAAATGCGGTGTTAACATTCAGAGACTGTCCAAGGCAGAACTTAATGAAGTTCTCCAGAGCTGCAGCCAGCTCCTGAAAGGTGACTCTCTTTTGTACAAGTCTATAAAGAGGGAGTGGATCCTGTCCTTCCAACAGATGCTTCTGTGACCGATATTGCTCAGGCCTCTGCCAGCCACAGCACCCCGGGCATCCTCTGTTGCAGCAGCACAGGCACAGGCCCAGACTCCCCAGCCTACTCCAAGATGTCTGGGCACGATATGGATCAAAGAGAGTGACAGACGTGTGCTGGGCTGGGGATGATAACAGCAGTCTTTGGCCAACCCAAGGAGCCAGGTGGAAGTGGTTTCTGTTGCAGCATTCACATCTTGTGCGCAGCCTGCCAGATAAAAGGCTGCTATGAAGCAGATCGCAAGGCAGAAGAAGCACAGGGATTTGTGGGGACGCCATCCAAAGGTTCGCCCAGCTCCTGGGCTGGTGGGACTGGTGCAGTTGTGTGAATGAGGCACTACAGTGTAAACAAGCTCCATTCACAAAGCCAAGCGCATCCAAGGGGATCCCTGGGTCATTTCCCCTTTCTCTCTGCATGGAGATGAATTGATTGGCATTACGTGCCTGGTGGTCTGAAGAGGCAGAAGGCAGCCTTGGCTGGGGCATGTATATGGAGGGTCAGTGTGGTGGCATCCTGCTCACAGCCCTGCTGACTCATCTCCCTGCAAACCCAATGCACCTTGAGGCCACAGGAGTGGAGCAACTGTAGAAAAGTTGGCCCATTCCTGCCCCTCTCCATCAGATCCGCACAAGCTGCTTAGTAGGAAGCAGTGAGGAGAATTGGGTATGATGACCTTCAACTCTTCCCCTCTTTGGGGGAGCAGCACTGCATTAGCGATGGATTAACTACAGGCCCCACACATATCATCTGGATTTTGAACGTTTCCTTATGTTGAGATGCAAATTGTTGGAGATTATTTGCACCCTAGACTAGCCCAGTGACCAGGACATGCGCTAAAGATGTACGGGTCATGTCCCCACTCTGAGTCAGAAGGAGAAAACACCTGAGATAAGGTCCTCTATATCCCAGGAGAGTACTGATAAATTTACTTTAATTGTAAAATTGCTGGCTGACTCTCCTCTGGCCAGGTGGTAGGGGTGTGCCAGGGCTTGAGCAGATGCCAGGCTCTTGCCAGGGGAGATGGTAACAGAGATGCTGTGTTTTGTTTCCCTCCAGATCCTGACCGTGTCCGGCCCCCCAGAAGGAGGGACACACGTGACCATCCGTGGCGTGAACCTGGGCCTGGACTTCTCAGAGATCGCCCACAGCGTGCGGGTGGCAGGGGTGCTGTGCACGCCCCTGCGGGAGCAGTACATCATCGCAGAGCAGTGAGTGCCCTCTGCCTGTCTCCATCTCTCAAAGAGCCTGCCCCCCATGAAGCAATGCTTTCGGCTTCTGGCATCACAAATGCACCGGGTCCAGCCTCGTGGCCCTTCAAAGGGCTTGTGCCTTGCGAGTCCAGCAAGTGCACCATCAGGTGGCAACCCTACATTGGCACCATCAGGCTGCCTTGGGATGGCAGCAAGTGCACCTCCTTAGCAGCCCTACATTGGCACAGCTCTGCCTGTGCTAAACCAAGCTGGTTTCCCCCAGCAGAGGATCAAGGCTTGGGGATTCAAAGCCCCTTTAACCTTCTGTGAAGCGTCTGGTTTCCCAGGGCGCCGTGGCCCTTGCAGCTTTCCTGCAGACCTGGCTGCCTATGCCCAGCCTGCCCTCCTCCCTTCCCCCAAGTGCAACGCATCCCAAGCTGCTGGCTGCACACAGCCGTTTATTAGTCATGTGCATAGTGACAGAAGCTTAATCCAACATAAAGACCTCCGCTGGAGTCAGTTCATTTATTCGCTAGGAAAAAACATCAGCTGAGCATTAGAAAACTGGCGTGTACTGGAGGGACGGGCCAGTCACGCTCCCCCATGTTAGGCCACCCCAGAATGGGGTAAGGGCTGAACACAGTGTTTGTAGGGAGGCCTGGGACCTGCTAGGGCACCCACGAAGACAGGGGCAAGGAGAAGAGCGGTGGCAAGCTGGGGGGGCTCAGGGTGAGCTCCCCATTGTGCAAAATTTGATTGGGACCTGGATTGGGCTCCTCTGAGCATCTGCTGGTAAATGTGGGACACAGGTGCCAAGTACCCCCCACTCCAGGGAGGAAACAGGTCAGGTTCGTCCCATTTCCACTGTGCGCCTCTCCTTCCTCCTGGGATAACAGTCCTTATCTAAAGGCTCTTGCCAGACGGGCTGTATGCACCTCCGCGTTCGTAAGGAGCTTTCTAATCGCTGAGTAAAAGACACTATTGAGGTGTAAAGACAGATTGCCATACGGCTGCTAGCAGAAATGGTCCAAAGCAATGCATTTTGAAGCTCTAGTGTTTTCCAGCCATTATGCTGTAACACTAGTATTTTATTTTATTTTCCGAACAAAGGATGGGAGATTATAAAATTACCCTCCTTTGATGGCATGAAACCCTGATTTTTTTTTTTGATTTTTTTTTTTTAAATCACAGCTCTAATTACAGCTCTCAAGCTTTCAAAGTTTGTTAACATCATTAAAACATTTATCCTGGGCAGATAACAGCAAGTGTTAGCGTGAGAGCTGCCTTTTAAAGACGAACACAGATAAAAGGACCCTCTTAAGGGTTCTGTGGGCAGACTGCCTTCCAAGGCTGTAATGACTCGCCATATGCTTCAGTCAGGTGATCTATCAGCTGGCAATTAGGTTAATGTTGGTTAAAGGGCCACTTAGCCCAGCAATCAGCACCCTACCGCTCTGTGGAGTGCATCGTTTTGTAACTGGTACCTGCTGGGATTTGGCCTGGGTTAGGAGCTGGGATCAGATGTACCGTCAGCGTTCGTGCCACCATGCCTCGCTTCCATCAGGCCTGATGTTGTAAACAGCTATGGCCACCTGTTACCTGTTGTGGGCCGCTCGGAGCTGCTGCTACACCCGCTGCAGACTGACAAGGCCACATGGCCAGCAAATCCATGAGCATTATGCCCCTTGCTCAGGCTTGCCGAAATCCAGCCCTGGCACCGCATCTCCCCTTATTTGGAATGAAACCGGTGGCTCCACGCTACATGCTGTTCGCCTGTGCAGTGGCAGGAGCCACGGGGTGCTTAACTAGCCCTTTGCTCTCAAAGTATCAGCAGCATAGAGGAGCACTTGCCCAGGCTCAGCTCCACGTTGCTCTGACCCAAGGACACGGTACTTGCTTGGCCTGTCCCCATTCCCTCCTCTCCATCCCCAAGCCCCAGGTGCCAAGGCCAAGTCTGTGGCTCCTCTCTTGAAGGCTCAGCAACAAAGCAAAGCTCCAAAGAGAAATGTGCATGGGCTATGCCTGGCTGAAAGGAGGAGAGGCAGGAACACGTGGCAGATTTGGGCATGTAGCTGAGACGCTTCAGCATCTGTTCTCCAAAGGCAGCATCTCTACAGGGAACCCAATTTGATGTGCAGCGATAACGGCTTTCACCGGAGTTGTTTGCTAGCACATATGTACTCCGGGAAGCCTCTGAGCATCATCTGAGCATTCTGCCGACGGAGTCCTTTTTAAGAAATATCCTTGTCATTTGGAAGCATATTTAGCTCTGGCAGAACCTGGTGGAACAACTGTTCTGGAGACCAAAGCCTGTTGTCTGTGTAAGCACAAGTGTTAGATGTGCAAACTTCTCCTTGCTGTGCTCCACACACCCTCCAGCCTTGGTGTCTGCTGGGACTGACCGCAGGAGGCCAGTTACTGCATCAGGGTTTCCTCTTCCTACGTTTTGAATCCTGTCCGCCTGTCCACCCACTCATCCAGGTATCTGGGCATCTGATCTGCTTCTCACCCTTGTTCCTCCTCCTTCACCTTTCTCATTCTCCTCCATGTAGATAGTGACACCACACCGCTCGCTGATGCTCTCTGCTTAGCAGAGCCTCACAAAATCCTTGTGCTTCCAGTGCTGCAATGGGAATGACACTTTCCATTGCTGAGGAATCTGCCAGCTTTAAACACCTCAGCTCTCTGCCTGGCTATCAAATCTGCTTGTGTAACAGAGGATGAGTTTGGTTCTTGGCCCCCGTAGGCAATAGCCATTGTCACAGGTCTGGTTGACCTGGGCTCTGCGCTTGATTGCACCTGTCATGTCCAGGGGCCAGAACATGCTCTTCTTTTCCTCCCTCCTCCGGTCCTCAGCCACTGCCCAGCTCCATTGCATGTCTCCTGAGCATCTCATGTTCAAGTCTTAAATGTCATTACTGTTTACATGTCCCTGCCTGCGGACACATTGCTGGGTATTGATCTGGACTGGCTGAAGAATACTGTATGTGCACAATTCACTTCCCCTAACCTCCCATCTCGCCATCAGGAGCATTCACCCTTAGTCAAACTTGTCTTCTGCACAGAGGCCCCTAGCCAAATCTCACTCCATCGTCCCCTACCGGGCCTCCCCGTTTTTTTGATTAAATAGGAGCCTACAATGTGAGCTGTTCCTTTAATGAACTCATCTGTTACTCTGAGGGCTTCACACTCTCTTTGCTTCAGGCTAATATATTTGCCATTAGTGCTCGTCTTTGCTCTGGAGTTTACAGCTTGTAATAATTATGTCTAATTTTGATTTTTTTTTTTTAAATGACTACATGGAGAAAAAATAGACTTGGTAATCAGCTCTTCCCAGAGAGGAGGGGAGCAGGCAACAGAGTCAATGGAGAATGAATCCCGGGAAGCTGAATAGCCAGGGCTGTGTCTTCCTGCAAGGGTCTCACCGGGGGCTTTGTGTTTCCAGAATCGTGTGCGAGATGGGGCAGGCGCTTCCAGGGATCAGTTCTGGCCCGGTGCTCCTGTGCATTGGAGAGTGCAAGCCTGAGTTCATGGCCAAGTCCACGCAGCAGTACATGTTTGTGGTGAGTAGCTGGACTGAGGGGCAGGTCGCAGAGCTCAGTCTGCCGTAGACTTGGTGCGTGCTCTTGGAGAACGTCACCAGACTGGGTGCGAGACCGGGCCAGAGGGAAAATGCTACGTTCGCATGCCAGTTCCCACCCTATCCCTTCTCTGCAATAGCGTATGCAGGCCTGGCTTTCTGCAGTGCGGAGTACACAGGGCTTTCACTGGTCACCAGCCTAAATATGGAATTAGATGTCTGAGTTCGGGCTTCCAGTTCCCTCTTCTGCAGTTTCCCCAGCTGTCAAGTGGCGATAATATTTAGCTACTTGGTGTGATTGTGCAGCTGGGCTTCTGCTGGTAAAGCGTGCCAATCCCTGTGAGCAGAAGCACCAGGTTGAGTGCGAGCTCGTTCTGTAGCTGCTGATCTTTTACCCAAATCATCCTGACATGGAAGTTGTGTCATTGCTCATAATTTTCTTCTTTCTCAGGAGGAAAAGAATAATGAAGGCACTTTGTTACTTTGGGGCTTAATTAACAGGGATAAATGTATTATACATTATACATACATACATTTTATACACACACGCACAGCCCACCAAGGATTACCTCTATAAAACTCAGGTACAGAACATCTGATGGAGACGTTTTCTTATCCACTCTGCGTGAATACGAAGTCTCTGTGGCTTAGTCTGTCTCCACAGATTTAAATGCAGCCTGCAACCTGCCTTCAAGATGGGAGGGTAATTCTGCATCCCCATAGCAAATGACTTTTTCCCAAGGGTGCTAATTCAGTGCAGGTTCCATCCCTGTGTTTAATCAGGAGCTGCTCTTGGGGGTGTGGATTTCCATTTGTTGAGTGATCATTGCCTCCTTTCCTTATTTAATTAGCAGCCTTTTGATTCATAAACTTGTGGGATGCAGCTGGGGTTTCCCAGGTCTCCGTTTTTGCCTGAACAGGCCACTTTATCCAGCCACATTGATTTTGTGCTGAGTGGAATCTGTGCATGCAGCGAAACGCCAGCACTTACCAATTGTCCGCAATTTGTAAACTAATTGAGAGATAAATCAGGCCGGCCCCTGCCTTCTCATCAGCATTATGAGCACTGTGCTCCCCTGGGACTTTATTTATTCCATGACATAGCGCTGATGTAAAATACCACGGCTGGCACCAGCTGGATGTAGGAGAGTCCAAGCTCTGGTATACCCAGAAGCTGCTGGGGCAGGCGGCGATGGGGGAGCGCAGTCCTCAGCGCAGCTCCAGCACTTGATGCTCAAGGAGCTCAAAGCACTTTCCAGGCGTGAATAAAATTAATTCATTTAGTTAATTAAATTAATTCATTAATGAATGATTGCTTAATTAGAACTTATAAATCCACCTTTACAAAAGCACAAAAGCTTTCGTTCACGTTGCAATTATAGCATCACGCTTCCACGTTCTCGAAAGAAACCAAGTTTTTAAAATCCCTCTTTTATACGCAGAGTTCAAGGTCCTGGTTGAGGCAAGCCCTTAAGCAGGCATATAAAGCTAAATATATGCTCAAGTGCTTTGCTGAATAAAGATGGACTTTAAGCACACGCTTAAATGCTTTGCTGACTCAGGACTTCAGTGACCTGCCAGTGGGCACATGATCTGATTGATCGCCAATTGATCCCCAATTTTCAAATGTAAAAAGTAACTAAAAATCCACTTTTTTTCATGTTCAAAATGAAGCACTGCTATATATGTAGCTGTATATTAGTGGCGTTTCATTTAGATCGTGGAAAAATGTGGATCTTGAGTTACTTTTTTTAATCTGAAAATCGGGGATGTTTTTTATCAGCGAAAACCAGGATCCCTGGTGATGAGTCAAAGCAGAGCCAGGCATCCTGGCCCAAATGGATAGACTTGTCTGGAAAAAAATCAGAATTTTCTTGACCTTTTCCTCCAGAACCTAAACCTCATTCAATACTGCATTTAGGATAAAAATGCATTGAGTTTTCTTCTTCTTCCTATCACCAATGTGCCCGTGCCCTCTGGTCCTATCTGGAACCCATACCTGCAGAAATGTGCAGGGATAGGCCGTGGTATTTGTGGCCAGCTTGGGCACGGGCATTGCTGGAAATGTCAGGAGGGCACTCAGCTCTTGTGAGACTCTCCACCCAGGTCAGAAAGAGTCAGAGTTCACATGCAGCTCTCACCCTCCGGGTGCTTAAGTGAAATGAGACTCCAAATCTCTGGAGGAGTCCCCGTTTCATCTAGTCCTGCATGAAAATAATGCTAATGAAAGGGCAGTTCTGAGCTTCTTTTATCCCAGCCTACTTACAGCATTAGATGCATCAGTGTGAAGTTCTCCGGCAGCGCACCTCAACTGAGAGGTACGGGTTCTCGAGCTGAGATGCATGTGCAATCGCTGCTGCCCATTCAGGCTTTGCTCGCTCCTCTGAGACTGCCAGCAAGGGAGCTCTGGTATTAAATGGGAAGGTAGTTCAGTGCCGGGGACACCAACCCACTGGAAAATGAACTGGTGCCAGACTCTCTCCAGAGAGGCCAACAGCAGGGACCAGATAGTCACAGTAGTGTTTGCACTGGGGGTCAAGTTGATTTTGCAACCCCGAAACATTCAGGCAAACCCTCGTTCTCCTGAACAGCCCTTTGGATATCCCAAACTTGCATTTTCCCCAAGGTGGTCCTAATATCATCAGTGTTTTCAAGCAAGTCCCTTCGCTGTGCAAAAAGGGAACTCTCCTGTGCTTTGTGTTAAGTAATAAGCAGGCTCCGGCCAAAGGTAATAGCAGAGATTAATCTTGGAGTCGCACCTTGCAGCAGCCTACGAACCCCATGTTAAACATTCTCATTCTTTGCCTTGTTGTGCCTGGTTTCCAGCACTTACCTTATTATCGTTTCTCTTTCTCAGGCACCAAAAGCTTTCGGTACATAATTTCCCTTTGTTGCCTGGCCTTTATTTTTTTTTATCTTGGCCCTGCCACACACTCCATTAAGGCTGGTTTGTGCTATTAAATTCAGTAATGGAATTGATTGGTACCTTAGAGCAGAGTTGTGTTCAGGGCCTCAGAGAGTTCAGAGCATAATGAGCTCATTTGATACCTGATACTGCATAGCATCTATGCTGTCATCCCAATTATCCCCTTTCTACCTGGAGAGGTGGGATCTTGGAAGAACGTCTTACCTGGACATCTCCCACGATTATCCCAGAAGCATCCAAGCAAGAGATGGGAAAGTCCTTTAGTGAAGGCTGTGCTGGGCCAGGGGAAGGTGATAGGAAGTTTGCTGTAACGCTGGCTCTTCTCCCCTCTCTTTTTGGATAAGAATGACCTGTTTGGGTGGAGTCTGTGCTCCGATCACACTTCTGCTCTTGGAAAGTGCTTGTATCTCCAAGTTAGACAAGGCAGCACCCAGTAGTATTGAAGAACGACATACAAAAAACCAGTATCAGGATGTTTTCCCCCATGACAAGCAGGGCTGACCTGTGGAACTCACCACCCCAAGGTACCAATGCCAAGGAAGGGGTAGGCTCCCGAATGAAAAATGTTTTTGAGAGCGTTCGCAAAGTGAGACTACGATGCTAATTATAGTCCATTCATTGTACTATCTAGCGCATATCAGGTATATAATTTTGATTAACCACTTTCCCATACCACCAGTGCAATGCAGTCCAGCAACTTCTGTGCTACCCAAATAAGCATGTGCTACAGTTTGAAAGCAAGAGGGGAAACGGCACAAACTCACTGCACTGACTGAGAGCTGCCAAGCAGGTGGTACCCAGGGAATGCAGTTGGGAAGCTGCCAGCTTGCAGATGAGAGTCATAAAGAGGGTAATGTGTACGCATTAGTGGAACAATTTGGTTATACCCACTGACTGAAAACAAATAGAAAGGTACCTGCTTTCTGCAGATTCTATTAGAGGGAATAAATAGCTCTCATTGATGCAAAAAAAAAATAGGTATCTCTGCAATGGTATCACCGATGTGACATCAAAGCAGGTATAGGTTGTAAACTCCAAGAGATGTCCAGGTAGCTTCTTCCATCGCCGCTGAAAGATAGATGTCATCCCCACCAAAAATTTTTGTTACTGGTGTAGACTACAGATAAACCATTAATAACCAGGAAAGTGCTGCCTGGAGGAAAGGTTAATCGGTACTTCCTTTAATAAGACTCTGTTTTTATGGATTATAACTTTTGCCAGACTTGAATCAAATGGGCTGATATTTTTCACACCATGATTTTCTTCCCTCGCTGAGCTTCAGCTAAGGCTGCTCTGCCATTTCTAACAAAGAGATTACAGGAAAGGACATGATTTTGCCCACATTAAAGAATAAAAAGTCTGTCCAATCTTTGAAACCCTTCAGTGCTTCCATGCTCTGGCACAGCGGCTTGAAATATGGCAAAGAGATTGCCCACTTTTCAAGGACGTGCCTTTTGTTGTTCCCATAAAAAGTACCCATAATTGAGTTGCTTATGAGCCTTTGAAAAAACCCAATTTGGACATTGCAAGTAGAGGCATGCTGGAACTTAGCAACCAAATATGTTCCAACTCGGGCTGCAGGAGTTGGGCAGGATTTTCTCTGCAATCGCTGCTCCCAGCTACCGGGGCCCTGGGAGACTCTCTCTCCTGTGGTCTCAGTGTTTAGGCCAGATGCCATCCCATCCAGGTGCCCCATTGGGACACGATCCCAAGAAATACCAGCTCCCTGCAGACCAAGCCAGTAACTTTGTTGTCTCCCTCTTCCTTCTCCAGAATCCAGCGGTCAGTGCCCTGAGTCCCAGCCGCGGGCCAGAATCAGGAGGCACCATGGTGACCATTACCGGCCATTTCCTGGGTGCCGGCAGCCGCGTGTCTGTGCTGCTCGGAAACCAGACCTGCGAATTTTATGGGTAAGAGAGGTGGTATGTGTCTGTGCATGCCAGCCGGCCGCTGTTCGTGTGTGCTGCGATTCCTCTGGCCCTCCCTATCGCTGCTGAAGTGACCGAGCCTTGCATGGCACTGCACACATCTGCTGTCCCGGGACCCCCGTAAACAGCTCAGAAACTTTGCAGCTGTTCCCAAATCAGTCACTCTGCTTTAGCCAGCATAGGAAATGCCCAGAGTTGGGCACAACACCTCGAGGCATTTCGTGCCATAGTTTCCTCTCCCTTTTTGAGAGTGCTTTGACTTAAAGGAGCATGCTGTGCTCCTCCTCTTTCACATGACTTCTCTCCTGAACCAGGAATTGTCCCCGTCTCTCCGATCCTGCATGAGCGCCTGAACATATGCAGTCGCCTTCACTTGCTTTCCATTGTGGGCAACGAGAGACTCTTATACGCGCCCGTCACCTTCATCAGGTGACCCCGTCCGAGACTGATGATCCTCAGTAGGTGACCCACTGTCATTCCCCCTGAGGAGCTCATACTTGGAAAACTGGTTTGCTTTGGGTGGTAGCCCTCTCTTTATCCTACCATGCCCCTCTTGGGCAACCGGCAAGTGCTAACAACCCTCCATATAAGAATTTCCCCTGTTCCTTCATGTGACTTTCAGCTTCTTACGGAGGCAAAAGGCAGCAGCTTGATATGGGGAGAGTGCATATAGAGTCCCCATGTCCAGCGGTTCATAAGCCACACGTGGGCATATTCCTCAAATCCCCAGAGGGAGCAAGGGGACCATATGCCGTGAAGCTCTGTGCTCCAGACTGCACGTATACAGCCCTTGTGTTGTGCTGCTGCTCTGGCCGGTGCTGCAACGGGGTCAGGAAATGAGACGAGCGGGAATGAATCATTTTATACAATGCTGAGACACATAAGAGCAAGGGACTCTCTCTGATCCTGCCCTCTGCTCCCTGTGCTGAGGCTGCCAGTTGCTATGGTGGTTTCTGCCAGTCTCCAGGCACCTTTCACCTGCATTTAATAAATGCTGCAAAGTTAATGACTAGAGGGTAGAACTTCCCTTTGCTTTTTTCACTGGGGCTGGAAAGCCTCTGAAATGGCCAGGAACCCAAATGCAGCAGCTTTGCAAGTAAAGTGATGCTGGCTTCAGGTTCTGGATTAGGCCTCTCGAAGGGAGTATCTGAGGCACCTGGAAACAGTGAAGGTGAATACCTGTGCTGCAAGATAGAGGTTCGCCGTGAAGGGGATGTTCTCATGTGGGATTATTAACAGGGATTATAAAATCACAGACAATGAGGGTGGGAAGGGACCTCAGGCGGTCACATGTAGTCCGACCCCCTGCTCCACGCCAGGACCAGCCCCAACTACGTCATCCCAGCCAGGGCTTCGTTGATCCGGGCACATGTTATGATGTGCCCAACCCCAGCCCTTTAAATCTGTGGATCTCAGAGCCATTTCTACATGTTTGTTCATTAACCCTCACAACCTCGTGTGTAGGGAGGTGAGTATAATCCCCAGATTATACAGATTATAATCCCCAATTTCTCAGAAAGAAACTAAAACAGAGTTTACATCTTGGCTAAAGGGTTGCAGTGAATCAGCATCCACACCGCAGCCTCTCGCTTCCTGAAATGCCTTGTGGAGCCTCCCCAGAGGCACTTAGGACACGGTGAAAAGAGGCATTTTCCTTCTCTCCTGGCCTCCTAACACAAGCCATAAAACCAGATAGCCACAGGATGCACTAGAGAGGCTAACGAGATGACTGTGTATCCACAGTGACTGCTCCCTTCACCCTCAGAACAGATAAAAGAGCCTCCATGTCCCTATTTTATTTTATTCTTCATGCCCCTAATTTATTTATATTATTGAACTGGAGAGCAGTGGATTAGGAACAACGGGTTATGAAGCAGGAAAGATTTAAGGGAGGTCCTCAGCCCTACCAGCATAGCTCCTGTTTCTACCCCCAGAACAAACAAGAAGGGAAATGGAGAAAAAGATGGTGATTATCCTGCATCCCGGCTGCAAGTGCTTCCCTTCTCTAGGTCTTCCAGGCCCCGGAGGAAAGCCTCCAAGCCTGAGAAGGACAGGGTCAGAGTGGGGGACAGGGAGTGACATTGGGGGAAGCATATATTGAGTATCGTTTCCTCCTCTACCCAAGTTGAAGGGACAGATTGTGTCCTCAAAGGCACAGCTGCCACCAAAAGTGCTATTGGGTCCAGTGGATGTAGCATGCGTGCGTTCTGCAGGCAGGGCACCATCTGCGGGTGGCCTGAGTGTTACCCCTAAAATACATGGCAATATTCAGGCAACCTACAGAGACCTAGAACCACGCTGAAGTCTCTGCAGGCTCTCCTCGCGCCAGACAAGTAGTCACTCCAAGCGAGTAGCGGTGTGCCGACGACACGGTCTTCTCGTGCAGGGTCACGTCGTGCTCTTCATTTTGCTTGGTCTGTTTGGAGGTGATGAATGTCGATTGTACTGCGAGGCAGAGGGGCTGCCGGATTAGATGGAGCAGTTTCTAACGAGATTCACTCTAATTACAGCTTCCTTCATTTCCCATCTCTGCTTGGAGAAGTGGGTAGATTCACCATGACGACATAATAATAGCACAGAACGCTAATTAACTGATCACAGGGAGCTCGGAGTGACTCTGCCAGCAGTGATGCATCACTCTGCATCTCATGCAAGAGCTAAGCAGGCCCCGATGAAAGCTGATCCTTGCAAACCAGGGTGCCCACACCAATGCGAGGCCCGTGGGCCAGGGTTGGGAGCGGGTTCTTTAGTGGGAAGGGAGCAAGCTCCTTCTGAACACAGCTGCCCGTGGGAATATTCAGTCCAACAACTGCAAAAAGAGTTAAGGCAGGCAGTGACAAGAGGAGGTCTTTTGTGGAATCAGATGGCAGCAGTGAGGGCTGGCAGAGAATTGCTGCTCTCACCCAGCCTCCCCCTGGCCACCTGTGCACCCCCTCCCACCCTGCAAGAAGGCACATCCTTTATTCAGTTGGATAAAGCTGGAGCAGCAGAGCAGGGAGGGGAAAGGGAGAGGGGACAGGAGGCAAGAACAACATGCATTGTAGTGACTGCCCGGTCCTCTACTCCCTCCAGCTCACCCCAAGATAGCCAGAGCCAGCTGTGGCTGCACAGAGGACTTGGTTTTTAGGGCTCTTAGACCAGCACCATTAATGTGCACACTAAGGATGCTGCGTCTGAACTGCACAGGCATGAGAGGTCTGCCTGCGAATGAACCAAGGCACAGAGATGCCACGGTTTTGCTCGGCGTCGTAGGGTGGGAGCTGAGGAAAGAACCCAGGCGTCCTGCCTCTCATCCTTTCTCTAACGACTCGCTGGTCCCTTTGGGCTTCTGCAGACACGTTGCTAACCTGCCCACGTAGCTGTTCTCCGGGGCACCGAGGGAAAGCAGATGGTCTGTCGTATCCAGCCACCAGGCATGGAGTCCTGAGGTTCGTTCCCAGTCCCCCCGAGGGAGACAGGGAAACACAGCTGCAAAGAGAGGGGAGGACATTGTTCCAGTCCTGCCGGGTCCTTCCCAGGTTGAGACTGGCGGCTGTTCAAGGTCCATTATGCTGATCTCAAGGACCTGTGTGTGCTGGGAGAGTGGGGGAAAGATGCTGGCTTTTGAATGAGTGCAGACATCCCACTTGGAAAAGAGCCATCTGCTTTCGCACACCCAGCAGAAGGCGGCAGGTTCACAGAGGGACATGGGAGGCTGCATCTCGGTGCAGCGAGTCCGTGTTTCTCTGTGGCCCCCACGTGAGCAAGAGCTAAGGGCTAAGCATGGAGAGTTGTTCCTTCTCTGTGGTGTAAATGAACCCTCTGAGGCAGGTGCACACACCTCAACTTGCGGGGAAGGCACAGTATTCACTTTTTGTCCTAAATAACTGCACACATTGCTGCTGTGCCATGTAGCAGCTGTCTTATCCCAGCTGAGAGGTGGCTATGCTTTGGTGCTATAAGTTATATATATCCTCCAGGATCCAGGTAGCAGAGCCCTCCCATGACCTGGCTGCTGGGGTGTAAAGCCTGCCTGTTTCTCTCTCTTCCAGGAGGTCCGTGAATGAGATCGTGTGCGTCTCTGCCCCATCCGCACATGGCCTGGGTCCCGTCCGTGTCTCAGTGAGTGTGGACCGGGCCCAGCTGGAAAGCACCCTGGAGTTCGAGTACATCGATGACCCCAAGGTGCAGCGCATCGAACCCGAGTGGAGCATAGCCAGGTAACCAGAGATGAGCAGTTTTATGACGGTCGATTATAGCCTGCTTCCCCTACACGCACACATGGCTCGCAGCTGAGAAGCACAAAGCCCACGCCCCAGAAAAAAGGGGGATACTGTGGGTATTTGTTGTAATTCTCCTCACATGCTTGGTCAACATCCAGCCTGAGCATGTTGGGTGTAGATACTGAAGACAATGCTATCTAAGGCCTCATCCTGTTGGGGTCGAGTACCCACTCCCATGGAAGTTGCTGAAACTTAGCAATACCCAGTTGCTTGCAGGGGCAGGCCTGGGAGGAAGAACGAAGGGCAGAGGCTTTTTGCTCATCCTGAGTCTCTATATGGTGGTTGCAGAAACTCATAAATGCCCACCACCATCACCACCAAATCCCCAGTCTCCTCTCTCAGGTTACTCCGAGTTAGGACAAAGAAGAGACATGGTAGGTGGCACATCTCCCACTCAGGGTCCTGCATCTGCCATTCCCAGACACCAACAAGGTTCAGATTTCCCATGATGGAAGGTCAGGTCTGACATTATTAAACCCATTTTAATTACCAAGGCAATTACAGCAGTGGCAATCTGCAGAGAGCTTCCAGGACAGCAAATAAAGCCCCGAGATCACTTCCATCTGCTGAAGAAGTACACAATTGCTCATTAAAGGCTCCTTCTTGTAGCTCCGAAGAGTCTGGAAGACAACAAAAAACAGCAGCAACCAAGAAATGAAAAGCTGATGCTAATCAGAGCGTTGTGTTTATCCAAGATTCGCGGCTAGGGACAGGGCAGCAGGCACGACCGCAGCACGCTACCATGGGGTGGGTTAGAGGCCGTGGACCACATTCATCCTGCGTTCAAGTCCTTTGTCTCCAGTGAAGGTGCGCAAGGGGTGAAACAGGGCCACGGATTTCACATTGCATTATTAGATGGAAATACGTCTCTCCATAACTGGACATGTTATTCTTCATCCCCCCTCCGCCTCAAACCAGGCAGCAGCAAATTGTGCCCCTGCTATGTCACGCCCCAGAGGTGGCAGGGACTTGAAAGCGGGTGAAAGGAGATTTCCTTCGCCGCGCACGCTCCTCACAGCACAGCAGCCTCTTTCTTACAAGAGCCCCTCGCTCAAGCCTGAAACGCGGCAACTAATTTATTGTTCCCATTTATTTAGTCCTGGCCTTTCATTCTTTTTTCATCCTGCTCTTGCTTATGCTGAGCCTCAAAACGCTGCCGCGTGGGGGGTGACACTCCACCAGGGGTACAGTTGAGACCAGAAAATCCAATTAACTTGTGCGACTGCACTCCCGGGGGACTCGATGACAGTATATTAATCCACGGTGTCACCTAGTTCCTGTAGAGTCTGCAGAAAACATCTTTGTGAGATCAACAAGCATATGGATTGCGGGAGCACAGTTGCTATGTATTGCCACAGGTCCCCCTGCTAAACCTCATTAATCTGGTGTCTGCTTATTCTCTGCAGTGGACACACGCCTCTGACAGTCACGGGGTCCAATCTGGATGTGATTCAGGAGCCCAGGATCCGTGTGAAATACAACGGCAAGGAATCTGTCAATGTAAGTAGCAGCTGTCATCAAAGTGCAGCTGCTTTACCCCCTCACACTAGGTTGTCCCACCATTGCCTACTGCTAGCTGTTGCAGCGAGTGTAGCTTTAGCACGGCTTTGCAGCATAGCAGGCGCATTCAACCCAACCAAGACCAGCACAGCCAGCAGCACGGCAGGTGTAGTTTACCTGGCATAGTTCATACCTTCAGTGGCACAACTTTTGCACTACAGCTGGAGGCAACTGGGAAGTCTAGAGCTGCCGCTACATCCAATCTAGACGTGCAGTCCGTACAGATGTGCTCACTGGCCATACCTCTTACGTTTAGCAGCACTGCAGCTGCTTTTATCTGGACGTAACTGGACTCATCCTCAACAAAGTTATATAAAGCTATATAGACAGAAGCTATATAGACCTGGAATAGAATCGTAGAAAAGTAGGGTTGGAAGGGACCTCTTGAAGTCGCCTAGTCCAGCCTCCAGTAATAAACAGCTGTTTCTATAAAGGACTCACTCTGCTGTGCCCAGAGAGGTTTCCAGAGGTGCACGTTTCCATTTGTTTTCAGCTTTTTAAAATTCTCCTAAGACCACTGTCCCCCACTCCATCAATCAGATCCACATACCATTTTCGAGGACCACTTTGTGCCTGGACAAAGTGCTGTGTAAGTGCCACGTAACAGGACCTGTAATGACTAACCACCCCATCTCCTTTTCATCAGACTAAACAAATGTTGGGAGTGGGAAGCCTATTTAAATGGAAGCACCTCAAACCCATAAAAGTCTCCTGGGGTTTTCAGCTTCACCCATTCATCACCGTCCCAGCTGATTTGCTCACTTGCTTTGATTAACTGGGTTTCTAAGAAGTGTCGTGGTCCTGGGCCAAGTCACTGAACATCAGGAGCTTTGGGTTTGTTTGCACAGGAAAGGCAGAAATGCCAACGATCGGCATTACAACGTGTAAGTGCTGACAGCCTTTATCTCAGCACTGCGGTGGTGAAGTGGGTGGACAGAGCAGGCTGTTCATTGAGATAGCCTGCTCTGGGGGCTGCTTCACTCTCCAGCCATTGTTGCATCTACCAGCTGGTGCCCCCATGTGCTGGTGCTGACTTGCCCCTTTTGCTGACTTCCCATCGGGGTCCTGGCCAGATGTGTCCTGCATGCGTGCTGTAGCCGGAGACCCAAACACAGACCTCATGGCCGGTAGACCCAGCTCCAATGGAGAGGGGGGTCCCTACCAAGGCCTGGCCTTGATCTTTGTGCCTGGCTGCTTGCTCCCTAGCAGAGGGCCAGAGAGTTTTGCAGCCAGTGCCCCCAGCTGCCGAATGGCCCTGTCGAGTGCACTTGGAGCATTGTTGGTGAAAGCCTGGAGAAGCTGTTAGCATGACCGGCCGTGGAGCCCATAGCGAGGGGAAGCAGCGGGGAGTTGGGGAGCGTGGAGACATATGGTGCTTGCGCCTTTGTGAGACCTGGCTATATATCACTGGAAACGCACAAAACCCGACAGCAGCCGCAGCGGGGGTGGACCGTACAGGGCCAGCGTGACAGGGAGACAATGCAAAGTGAGTTCCTCGGTGACCCCGGGGCTGCCCTGCCTGCCAGGAAGTCAGCCCGGTTCCCAAAGCTTTGACATCTTAACCACCCCCCAGGCCTGGCAACTCATTTGTCTTGTTGCAATCACGCTGGTTTTCCCTGCTCTGGGGAGCCCCATCCCACCGCCTGCCACAGAGCCCTTCTTCCTCCCAGCATGTCCCGTGCACCCACAGAGCGGGCTGCAGGGACGTCCCAGCCGCATCTCAACAGGCATGTTTCCATGGAGAAGCTGAACGGATACGGGTCCCCGTCATCCCCAGCTGCTCTGCCATCTCTTTTTGCCCAGCTCCTTCTGTGCTGGCCCACGGCGAGGCAATGAGAAATGGCTAGTGCGGAGGCCATTATATTTTAATAGTCTCTCTCTATCTATCTCTCCATAAATAACGCTTGCATCGCAGCAGCTCTGGGCTTGGTAATCATGGACAGGGATGGGGAGGTGTGAAAAAAGCTTTCAAGGCACTTTGCTGTCTCACCGCTAGGATCTCAATGCGAAATAAGTTGAGCTGTGACCTTCCTGCTGCAAGAAGGGAGAGTTTGCATCCAGATGCATGGGGTGGTTTGGGGGGGAGGGCTGCAGGGAACAGAGGAGCCGGAGCTGCACCATGCACATGACACCCCCCCAGATATGCAAAAGCAAATGGGCCTCTTGGGTGTTTGCTTAATAAGCCTTGAAGGTGTTTTGGATCCTGGGCTGTTTCTGGGACTGTTATGAGCATGCAGCAATAGTGGGTCTCTGCACGCACCCACTCCCAGGGCTCTCCTGCAGCATGACCTGGGACACCCTTGCCCTTGCCAGGCGGCGGGGCCTTCTGTGCAGCTGGGACCTGGCAGACAAGTGCGGAGGAAGTGGGTTTTGTGCCTGTTCCCCACACTGGGTCGCAGCTCTCCGAGGGCGAGTGCGCAGGGGCCTCTTCATATTGCACTGCCGCCCGGCATTGGTTTTATGCATCTCCCCTAATTAGCTATAGCTGAGCCCTTTATTTAAACCATTTGTCCCACACTTCATAAACTGCAGGGGAAAGTTAAGAAGCCAATAAACAGAGCTGTGATATTGTGGGGGGGTTGGGGTTTTTTTTACATTGGGCTCAGACTGTAAATTGCATTCTCCTCTGACTGAGTCAT